TGGAACACGGGACGTATAAAAATAAGTTCCACATGTGTTTTGTACACATATTTACTAAGTAAACACCTCATCAACAAATATAATTTCACATAAATCATGTTTAATTCAATTCAAACTTTCTTAAAGACACAGAACCCTGGTTCATATTTAAAAAAAGAAGAAAGGAAACATTAAAAAAAAGAAAAATAATAAATTATTATAAAAATGTTAAAAGTGCAATTATTTTGACAAGTTATCACACTGTGTTTGTTACAAATACAGTCATATCTGACAACTCTCTGAAATGTGGGCCTAATTAAATTTTTTTTGGTCCTATTAAAAAAAGTGTTCGTTCTCCTGCATTCAGTCGCTGCCAGAGGTTGGACTGTTACCATGGTGACGACAGCTTCCTGTTCCGGTGGTGTGAGGAGAGCTCGTCTCAAAAGGGGAGGGTGTATACAGCGCCATCAAGGGGACTCAGTTCAGCTGCGAGGGGGCTTCACAGCGAGTGTAGTTTGCAGGGAGTAGGGCGAGTGTGAAGCCACTGACTGGGAAAGGGCCTTAGACTGAATATCACTTCAAAAAAATCACACTGCGCTTTTAAAGGGGACATATCATGCGAAATCCACTTTTTATACAGTTTGATGTACTTGGAGTCTCTGCAGAAAAGTTGAATTTAGTCTCTCCTGGTGCTACAAAGATAACCTTATCTGTTGGGTCATGTTTTTCAACCCGTTCAGTTTTTTCTATTTCTGAACTATTACGTCAAATTYTATACCTGTACTTACCAACTACTTATATTAAAGACCCTAAACGTCATACTGAACATTTTCCTCGTGTTTAAATCAACAGTATTTTTTTACTGAAACGTTCAAACTAAGCTGTGCTAACTTGAARATTTGTGAGTTTAATTTTTGTTGTATAAGTTCAACCATAAAACAGCTGTGAGCTGAAAGGAGAGGCGGTGCTCGTGTTGTTTAAAACTTATCAAGTACAAACACTTGTCTGAAGTTCAGATCAGAACAGAATTCCTGTTATTAGTTCATCACGAAGTCCACTCCCTCAGCCCGAACTACAAGGACAACAATGAGAGGGAAAAACAAACAAAAGTTACAAAAAACCAAATGTACAACGTCAGGACCTGGGACATGGAAAGTGCTGCAGGAAGTTAATCTGATGCTTTGTAGTTTTTATTTTTGGTGAAAACTATAGAAAKAGTAAGAGTAGACTCTGATTTTAACATTGTTTTTTTTTTAGATTCTCATAGTTTAATTGGTGCAAACACTGCATGCTTAAAAAAAATACAAATATACCAGCAAAGTATTTGTACTTTACTCGCTGCAGCTCTACTTGTTTTTCCTTGTTTAAATGTGCATTATAAAACAGCTACACGTATTTTACAGGCAATAAGCTGAAATACGTCAGCTGATTGTTGTAAAATTGCAACTATGGGTGATGAAAAGATCATGTAAAGAGTCAGTAACTGCTTTCTTATGTAAAACTGATTGATCTCTTATTTACTTTAAAGCTCTCTTAATCAAAGTGACGTTTCTGCTGTGGGTGAGAATTGATTTAGAGTCTGACAGATTTGTGTGCGACCATGAGACCCTGAGAATAATGAGGGTCAGTATGTGAGCGTGTCGGGTCCAGGAGCCACGCTTCTGACGCTCCAAAGGCAGAACAATCAGATCCTTTCACAGCTTTCRCAGATTATCTCTGGAATCTGGGAACGGRTCTGAGAAGAGATGGATTTCTCAAAGTCCTGAAACATTCCTACACCTGGGGGCGTGTGCGGGGGCAGTCGCTTACAGGTGGATGAAAACTGGAGGATTTAGACGAATCTTTATACTGTTGATTCAGGTTCTCATGGTTTTTAGGCATGATTCCACTCGGTTGTTTCTGCTTCACTGTAAAAACTAACAGGTCATATTGTTTGTCTGATCTGACATTTTTACATACTTAATAGTTTGTCCACAAACACAGTTCAAATTTGAAGGGTTTTTGAAGATTTGTTCCCAAAAACCGGCAGGAAATTAAGTCACACTGAATTTTTAGCTGTCTGGAATGTTCACATTTTTTGCAAACAAACTCTTCTCACTGTTTTCTTTTATAAATTAGTTCAATCTTTATTTCAGCAGGCAAAACATTAAGAACAACTTTTTATTTACAGTGTTTGCCTGAAAATGCTAAAACATWATCTTTTTTCACTCAGTGTGTCTCTGACTGCTGTAGTTCCTCTCAGAATGCTGGGGCTCCAAGTATTTCCTTTAAATCTATTCAGTGTGCATTGCCAATGCAATGCACACTACAATATTGTGATTCGTTTCCCATCCAAGTCATCTCAACTTTGTCATGCTTCTCCTCCTGCATACTTTGTCCTASAGCTGCCATTGTAATTTATATCTGTAAAGCCCCTGTGCCAAATAATGGCTATGCCTTTTGGTGCCTGTAAAACTTATAGTTTTTGAAATATTAATGTTTAATAAATTATAATGGCAGTCAATGGAGCCTTGTATTGGTCCAATACTGCCCCCTGCTGCATCTACACAATATGGTACTGCACCATAGTTTRWTAATATTTAAWCTCAYTAGTTCAGRGWTTWCAATARTAATATGATTGTATTTTGATGTTTTACTATAATATTGTCTTAATACTGCTCTATTGTTGTAATATATTGCACTTAAGTGTCAATAATTGTATTGGCGAGGTAAACTTTTCTGTATACATACAATCCAATCCCTGGAATTGTCCTCTGCCACATCTCCTATAGTCTCATGATGAGCACTGTGGGCTTTCATGCGGGAGATCAGGGTTCAKATCCAGCTACTGCWACTTTAACAAAAATCTCTGCAAACTTCATYTTGTCACACAATTACCTTAATTKRAAACACCTGCTGACGTGACAGGCACAAGCTGGTATAGAAAACACATTTGAACTTGGTCAAAGTTCATTCTGCAAGTCCAATGCTCCTGCATACATTGTCCTACAGCTGCCATTGTAATTTCTATCTGTAAAGGTCCTGTGCCAAATGATTGCTTTGCCTTTTGCTGCCTGTACGACTTGTAGTTTTTGAAGTATTAATGTTTAAACTTTAATCCAAATTCATATTATGGGAGTCAATGGGGCCTTGTAATGGTCCAATACTGCCCCCAGCTGTACTCAACTTGGTACTGCACCATAGTTTTTTAATATTTAATCTCAATAGTTCAGTGTTTACAATACTAATATGATTGTATTTTGATGTTTTACTATAATATTGTCTTAATACTGCCTTATTGTTGTAATATTATGCAGTTTAGTGTCAGTAATTGTATTGGCAATGTGGCCTCTTTCTGCACACATACAAACCAACCACTGCCACCACCTTCTTCCACAGCTCCACTGGTCTATGTCATGGACTTTCATGTGGGAGATCAGGGTTCAAACATGTCTAATGCAACTTAAACAAAAAATCTCTTCCAACTTCATATTGTCACTCAATTACCTTAATTACAAACACCTGCTCACGTGACAGGCACAAGCTGGTATAGAAAACACATTTGAACTCGGTCCCATTTCATTCTGCAAGTCCAATACTGCAGGCAATGACATGCAACGTGGCAATGCACACTTGTTTTTACATCGCAAAAACCCATGTCTATTTGTAACTTGTCATATTTCCCAAATGAAACACTGAAGACACAAAAACAAGCTCACGTATGGAACCATCACAGTCTTCTAGATTTAAGCATTTGTTGGTGGAGTGGCCGACTTTTTAAAATGGACTCTGTTATGGACTAATTATCTATTTGTGTCACCTGATCAATGTTAATCTGTGTTGGCCCAGACAACAGGACTCCGCAACGGACTGACCTCTCTTGTTTGATAAGACACTCTTCGAGCTGGGAGCCCTGTGATAGGCTGGACAGTACATTTGGTGATCTGTGATTAGTTGTAAACTGTCACATGGTGTTAACATAATGTTATATTACTGGCTGTTTTCCGCTGACGAGTCAGTCACAAGCATGCAGAGCTTCCTGATTGAGTCCTGTTTGTTTGTGGCTCAGAATTAAATCATTATTACGACCATACACGCAGGCTTTCTGGCATTATTCCAACGTGTTTCTGCATTCATGCGACAACAGACTCAAATCAACTTAGTGGAAACATAAAGACAAAAAAGAAAAAATAAAACAACAGAATGTCATGTCATGCAGCAGGTTGTAGGTCCAGCAGCGCTCAAAGGGTCTGCAGGAGGTTCAGCCCAGAACAAATACAGCAGAAGGTTTATACGACCTTTGAACATTGCTGCAGATTGAAACTGTCAGGTTCATAGAGGCTCTCGTGATCAAAGCGTGCATGAACACCAGAGTGTGCACAAACAGCAGAGCGTGCACGGACACCAGAGCCTAACAACTAGTGTGACTTCATGAACCATGTTTATCTGATCCCCCAGAACAGACAGTTTTATGATCCAACAATTAAAATGAAACATTCATAAATATAAAACTGTCCTTTGGAATAAATAATACAAGTGATTTGTTTTTTTAGTTTGTCTGAGCCTCAGTTTTCAGTCTGCGTTTCTGTTTGCCCCTCATCAGTGTGACAGTCAGACAGATGTGTTCTTACCTTGGTGACCATAATGAGCCACAGTTCCTTCTAAAAATCACAATGTACAAAGATATGTTGGAATTTCAGGCAGGAGCTGCTCTTGGCAGCCAAAAATTTTCAAYAGATTTCAAAACCACTTTTTTCTTTCAAGAATCATAGTTTGCTGACWCCATTTAATGATGTGAAAGCAGAACTTCTATTCATCCATCTTCTTTATTTATCCACTTTTTCCTTCAGAGTTAAGAGATCTGGCACCCATTTCAGCTCTCAGCAGCCTCTGGCTCCGCCCTCAGGAAAATGAGCTGTTTTTCCTTCTGAGGAAATTACTAACTTTGAAATTTATGATCCAACTCTGTTACAATTATGGTTTTGTTGGTTTCTAACTTGTGCTTTTGCTTCTTCCTTTTGTATGTTTTTTTTTAAATACAGAACTGGCGAGTGTGGTCAAAACTCTGCTGTGGCCAAAAATGGATTCTCCTCCTCCTACCCTTCCTCCTCCTCTTCATCATGATCTGCATGATGACGATGACTTTGCCCCCTCCTTTGCCGCCCGTCGACACCGACCGGCGCTCGTCCCGAGCTCTGAGCTCGACGGGGGGCTTCAGATCCAAGCCCAGAATCGCAAATTCCCCTTCAGCTGCCGCGTTCCAGCAGCATCTTCATCACATCCAGCGCAGTAGAACCGGTCCTGCAGAAGACACGTCTAAATCTCCACACAGACCTGCTGGTGAGGACAGAAACAGCATCAACGTGAGAAGCCATGCTGGCGTTCACAGAAACAAACACAGAGACGTTGCTTCTGCAAACAAAGAGGTGGCAGGCGCCGTTCAGTCAGCATATCATCATCATCATCCTCAACTTTCAAACTTTACTGTCAACAACACAGAGCTGGAGCGTAGAATTAACCCACGCAGCCACACCGCTGTGGTAAAACCCACAGCTCAGGCACCAATTTACCTCAAACAGAAGAAATCCACAAGAGCTTCCAGGCCTCCAGCAGATCGAGGAAGCAAACATCCACAGGGAGGCAGACACACAAACAGTTCAGAACATCAGCAGAAACTCAGACAGCATTCAAAGACATCTGAGGAAAATGTGGATAAAAAGCATCGTTCTGTGAAAAAACACTCTAGGGATCAAAAAAAGCTCCATTATTTTCCTGAAAATCCCCCTGAAAAGAAGGTGAACAGACCCTCAGATCCCAGGACAGCTGTGAACAGAGACGACTGGTGTCGGACCTTTAGGYAGCAGGACTTCTCAGACTCTGACCACAGGAGGATCAGAGTGAGCCGAGACCTGCAGCCTCTGCCCTGGTTCAGCAAGGAGGATGTTGAAAAGATGGAGCTCCTGGCTGAGGGGGAGGTGCTCAGTAAGGCCAGGATCCCCGCACACGGACAGATCCTCCAGGTGGCGATGGATCCTCCTGAACACCACCAGGTATCCTGCTGATATCAAACTAAAAGAAACAGAATTTTACAAAACAATGAAACAAACTCTTCTGAACATTTACACATGTAGGTTTGCCACCACAGCGACTGACTTTACAAAATTAAAAAGGTGAAGAACTCTAGCCTGGTAAAAAAAAAAAAAAAAAAAAAAAAAAAAA